TTCCCCCACCTTCTGACTGCAGGTCATACGACCCTCATTTCAAAAGGGGGCTTGCTCCATACTCTGGAGGAAGGAATGCTGTACAGAAAGGTCAAGAAGAATCTGAACAGACAGGCCTTGCTGGGTTTCCCCACTCAGCCTTTAGTATCTGATCATACCCTTTTTGTCCAATGACATTTCTATTTGGTAGTCAATCATGTCTACCCAATGAAGTTTCCATAAAAGGCTCAAGAGGACAGGATTGAAGAGCTTTCAAATAGCTGTGAACACGTGGAGGTACCCAGAGGATAGTGCACCGGGAAAGGACATGAAAGCTCTAGCCCCTTCCCCTGTGCCTTGCCCTGTGTGTCTCTTCATCTACGTCCTTTGTAACATCTTTTATCATGAGCCAGTAAATGTGTTTCCCTGTGTGTGAGCCACTCTAGCAAATTAACCAGTCTCAAAAAGGCAGTCGTGGACACCTCAGTTTGAATTTAGTTGATCAGAAGTTCCAGAGACTGGACATGCAACTGGTCTTTGGGGGAGGAGGTCAGTCCTGTGGGACTGTCCTGAGGCTGTCTCCAGGCAGATAGCATTGTAATTGAATTGGAGCACATCCAGCTGGTGTCTGCTGCAGAACTGATTGCTTGCTTGATAACCGGGGAGAAATCCCCCATATTTGGTCACAGAATTCACCTGTGTTGTGTTGACTGTGCTGAGCGACAGAACAGAAGAAAACACTTTTGAGTGTGTTTTTTTTCCTACACACCCCCCAGTTTCTTATTCTGCTTGGTCTAGTTAGAGGGGTGTTACTCTACAGCCTGACTAGAGTTAGGATTCATTCAGCAGTTCTAGCCTGGGTGACCCTCTGCTGCAATTAGCACAGTTTCTTCAGTTCTGAGAAATTGAGTAGGTCAACACAATGTGTGTTCCGTTTTTAAAGTCTTGAGAGTGAACAGAACACACAAGATCACTCCAGTTCTACTCTCACATCCACTACACTTAGAGAACAAGTAATTCTGCAGCTTGTAGAGGAGTTAAAGTCCAAGAGAAATAATGTTCTGAGTCCTAAGGCTTAATATTCTACACCCAAGTCTCAGTTTCCAAAGATCAGGGCAAAGACTCAGTGGCAGCTGAGAAAAGGAAGGCAGCCTCCTTAGAATGGCCTCAAGATATGCTCTTGAACCAGAGGGTCATTGATCTAACATAGCAAACTCAGAATCAAGGGGCAGAAAAATAGACACCGCCTCTTTCCAAGAGGAAAAGGGCTGACTCCTGGAAGGAGGAAAGAATTGGGACTATTGGCGCGATCACTCTATTTTACTCTCCTGCCCTAAAGTAACTACACAATTTAAACTAGGCCCATTTCAAGTGCTCAATGGCTACAGGTGGCTAGTGGCCACCACATTCAACAGTACATCTCTAGAGTCACTGGTCGCCTGGCAATTTCTCAAGTTTGCCAAGCATTCTTCTGCCTCAGGGCCTCTGCACTTGCCCTTCTTCCTGATTGAGACATTCTTCCTCTAGATGTCCACATGAACCACTCCCTTCTCCCCTTTGGTCCTAATATCACCTCCTCAGTGATGACATCTCTGCCTACCCTGTTGAAAATTGCAGCCCCCCACCCTGAACTCCTTCTATCCATTTTCCAAGTCATATTTTTTTTCATGATACTTATTGCTATCTGGAACCTTATGTATTTTAATTAATTTATTTATTACTTGTCTTCTTCCATTGTAATGTAAGTGCCATAGAACTGGTCTTTTTTTCCTGTTTTGTTCATTGCTATATCCCCAGTTTCTAGAGCAATGCCTGGCACGTAGTAGATACTCATCAAATATTTGTTGAGTAAACCCTAGCCTTCTCATGCCTTTTGGCAAATACTAAAGAAAGAAATGAATTAGAATCTGATGTAATACATTATAATTTATCAGGCTTATGGGCCGGAATCCTGAGAATGCCAAAGTTTACCCACATGAAGCGTCATATTTCTGGTTCCTCCTTACCATGAGAGATCAGAAGCAGGATTTGAAACTTTCATTAGGGTCAGTTGAAATGAATATATCCTGAGCAGCTCAATCTAGGCCTAAGTTTACCCATTAGTGAAGGAGATGATGTTTGAAGACAACTTGTTCTCTGCATCTGTTTCTGCCATCCAGGAAAAATGTTAGTGGTTGTTACCTGGTTGTCTTAGTTGCAATGATCTCTAAAGTCTACCCTTGATTTTATCATATATCTTTATTTCACAGTCTTACTATTACAGTCACAAGCCACATAATGATGTCTTAGTCAATGAGGGACCATATATGCAACGTTGGTCCCATAGGATTATAATGAAGCTGCCCTATACACACATACCTTTTTAAAAAAATCTTTTGTTGAACACAGTGGCTCACGTCTGTAATCCCAGCACTTTGGGAGGCAGAGGTGAGAGGATTGCTTGAGTCCAGGGGTTCGAGACCAGCCTGGGCAATTTGGTGAGCCCTCGTCTCTCCAGTAAATAAAAAAATTAGCCAGTCATATTGGCATGTGCCTGTGGTTCCAGCTACTTGGAAGACTGAGGTGGAAGGATCGCCTGAGCCCATCAGGTTGAGGCTACGGTGGCCATGAGCGTGGCTATGAGCATGCCACTGCACTTCAGTCTGGGTGACAGTGAGATTCCGACTAAAAAAGAATCTTTTATACCACATTTTTACTACACCTTTTCTATGTTTAGATACATAACTACTTCCTACTGTGTTACAACTGCCTAGTATTCAGTGCAGTCACATGCTGTCCAAGTTTATACCCTAGGAGCTGTAGATGAGACCATATGATCTAGGTGTGGAGTAGCCTGTACCATCTAGACTTGTGTAAGTGCACTCTATGATGTTCACACAACAATGCAGTTCTCCGAACATAGCCTCATCATCATGTGATGCATGACTGTACTTGGGCTCTAAGAGAACAGCTACACTTCATTTCTGATTGTCTAATTGGTCAGTAATTCTCCCATTGTTTTCATTGTCTTAATGGCACTATGGAGTCTCCTCAAGGGGAAAGTCATCCTGAATCAACAGCTAAGCAATCTTGGGGCATCCATTTGGTGTATATCTCCAAGCAAGCAGATATGTGAGTCGATGTGCATGGCTTTAAATGATGCCAGTTTGACTTTTTTCACTCAGCAGATATTTATTGAGCACCTAATATATGCCAGGTATTATGCTTTGTTGTATAGCTTTAAATAAGACAGACATAGATCTTTCCCCCTAAATTTAGTATCTATTTGGGAAGATAGAAAATAAAACTATTAATTACAACAAGGATAGGTACAATGAGGGAGTCTACCATGGCCCTAGTCTGGGGAGTAGGGTCAGAATGCTTCAATTTTTGGTAATCCTGACACAGTTTTTGAAATGACTTTCTGAGGTATTTTTACCTCAGAAACTCACCAATGTGAAATTTACTATTTGATCAGTTTGGACAAATGTATAAAGTCATGTAACCACCAGCACAGTCGAGGCCATTTCATCACCCCTAAAAGTTCCCTCATGCCCCTTTGCAGGCAGTCTCACCCTTTCACCCACCCCAGCTTCTGACAGTCACTTATCTGCTTTCTATTACTATAGTTTTGCCTTCATATAAATAGTGATAACTGAAATGAGTGACTGAGGCAAGGATCTCAATCAATTAAAGTTTATTAAGCCAACTCTCGGAAGCACCCAGGAAAAACTCTAGTCACAGGTGCAGCTGTGGCTGATTTTTCCCAAGAAGTTTTCAGGAAGTTTAGTGTTTGTATGTTTTCTTAAAAGGGTGGAAGGCGCCGGGCTTGGTGGCTCAGCCTGTAATCCCACACTTTGGGAGGCTGAGGTGAGTGGACTGCCTGAGCCCTCGGGTTCAAGACCCGCCTGGGCAATTTGGCGAGACTTCATCTCTACAATAGATCAAAAAATTAGCCAGGCGTGGTAGCGAGCACCTGTAGTTCCAGCTACTTGGAAGGCTGAGGCGGAAGGATCGCCAGAGCCCAGCAGGTCGAGGCTGCGGTGGCCGGGAGTGGCCACTGCACTCCAGTCTGGGCGAGAGTAAGACTCCAACTCAAAAAAAAAAAAAAGGGTGGAAGGCATGTAGGGAGAGGGGCAGGTCTCCCGCAAAGCCGGCTCAGCTCCCTCGCGCCTAGCACCGTGCCCAGCACGAAGGGCCAAAGGGAGAAGGGGAAGGAGTGTGTCCGAAAGCCCAAGCATCACCACTGAGGACGCCAGGGCAAAAAATGTCCGGGACGTCGTCCCACTGCCTCCCGGGCAACACCGCCAACTCTCTAGGCTACGCCCTTTACTTCGAACTATTTTGGCTTGTGTGGACCCGGGCTTCTCCAGTAGGGGATCGTCACGAAGACTGAAACGCTGCGTCTGCGGGGTGTAGGGGACTCGGAACGCAGCCGGGCGGGCGCCGCGGCCCCGGTCGCCCAGCAACTGCGGGTTCCTCGCGAGGCGCTCGATTCAATCAGGCCGGATCGAGACGCGGCGCGGCCAGCGGCTCGAGGCCGGCTCCTCTCTAGCCGGGTGGAAGGAGCTGGGCGGAAGGGGTGTGTCCCGGCAACGCGCACGCGCAGAGGCGGGGCGGGGGAAGGGGGCGGGGCGGAACGCGGGGGCGCACGCACGGGGGGCGGGGCGGCGGGCGCCGAGAGTGGCTGAGCCGCCGGAAACGCGCCGCGGAGGGTGCGGCTCCGAGGAGGCGGCGGGCCGGGCCGGGCCGGGCC